ATAAACAGATTAAGAAATGGAATAAAAGAAGTGATGACCTTAGAGAATGACCCCACCCAGCTCAGCTTCCAACTTTGGAAAAGGAATTAAAGACCAGCTTAGGTCTGGGCATTGTGGTACCTGCCTTTAATCCCAGCACTCAGAAAGCAGAGGCTGATGGATCTCTGAGTTCAAGGACAGCCTGGTAAGCACAAGTTCCAGAACAGCCAAATTCAGGCAGTAAAGGAAACCACTGAAAGTAGAAAGCTAATGAAGATGTAATTGAACAAGGGAGCCATGTTCGAGCTTCAGCATGCAGCAGATATTGACAGCTATGGCCAAGTGGTTTTGGCTTTAAAGTCAAATATAGAGAAGTTATGGAATTTCTCTCTATGACTAAGGAAAGCCACTGAGGTCAGGCATTTGGCAAGTGTGTCCCTGCATGGAGCACTGAAAGGTCATTGCATGAAGCTGTGAAGTTGAAGTCTGGATTGCCTTGCAGACCCCAAGATGTTGGAGATGCCAGGGTCCTGGGATACCTGTCAAGGAAAGATGCTAACAGGAAGTGGAACCAGTCCAAGAGAAAGAAGTAGGTTTCAGTCAACAAGATAAAGTTATGGTGGTATTTTATTTGCACTGAAATGTGATTTTAATTGTATGTTAATAAATAAAGTTGCCCAGGGGTCAGAGCTATTAGAGCCATAGCAAAAGTTGGGCGGTGGTGACACACGCCTTTAATCCTAGCACTTGGTAGACAGAGCTAGGTAGATCTCTGTGTGTTCAAGGATACAGCCAGCATTGGAGACACATGCCTTTAATCTCAATACCAACCATAGAAGACCTGGAAGTCTCTACAGAAAGGCAGTGACGAGGCAGTCATGTGTTTGGGTTTACAACCAATGAGAAGGCAGAACAGAAAGACTATATAAAGACAAACACACAGGAAGTAGGTCCCTTTTCGGAGAGCTCTCTTGGCTGAAGAGAATCACTGAAGCAGGAAGGGTAACACTCTTAGCTCTGACCTCTTGGCTTTCTTCTCTGAATTGGCTCTGTGTTTCTTATTTAATAAGACGGTTGGTTATATCTACATAAAGTAGTTAGACACCTGAAGAGCCCTTTGACAACAGACGTGGACATACAGACTTTGGAGATTGTCCAGCTGGTTTTTGGTCTGGCTTTGGTACAGTATTTCCTCAATATCCTTTGTCTTCCATTCTGAAATGGTAATTTTTATCCTCTGCCATTATATGTTGGAAGTATGTGATCCCTTTTTTTATTTTGATTTTATAGGAGATTACAGTTAAGGGATTGCATGAATCTCAGAAGAGACTTTGAACTTCTGAATTTTAAACACTGTTAAGATTGTGATCGACTACAGGAAATTTTGAAGTTGGATTAAATGCATTTGCATTATCTTATGGCTACAAGTCTACTGGGACCAGGGAATGGAATGTGGTAGCTTAAATAAGTATGGCTCTAATAGACTCACATGTTTGAATGCTTGGTCCATAGAGAAGAGAGCTGCACTATCAGGAGGTGTAGCCTTGTTGGAGTAAGTGTGGCCTTGTTGGAGGAAGTGCATCCTTGTGGGATGTACTTTGAAGATCTGATATGCCCAAGCTATACCCAGTGTGGCACTCTCCTTCTGCTACCTGTGGATCAAGATGTAGAACTCTCAATTCCTTCTCCAGCACCATGTCTGCCTGCATACCAACAAGTTTTCTACATGATAATGGACTATACCTCTGAACTGTGAGCCAGGCCCATTTAAATGTTTTCCTTTATAAGAATTGCTGTGGCCATCACGTCTTTTTACAATAGAAACCATAACTAAGATATTCTTCCTTCTACCCCTTCCAATGTTTCCTACTTTCAAATTTATAGCCTCTTATTATTTGATTGTTATTATGACATATATATTCACAAATTTATAAATAAAAACAGCTAAGTCAGTTATAGTTGGTTATGTGTGTTAATTCTGAGCTGACTTCTTTGCATTAAATAGAATTTCTGGTGCTCATTCCTGGGAGAGAATAATTCTAGCTCTTCACATTCCTTAGTTGCCTATAGTTCTTTGTCTAAGTTTGTGACTCCTGAAATTTTCTCTCTTCTCCTTTAACATGTCTATATTTCCACTGTAAGAATCCAGTTTGTGCATTCATTTCTAGGAGAGTCAGTCTTACAGCAGAATTCTTGGTATTCTGACCATTACAATCTTCCCATCCACTCTTCTGTGATGTTCCCTGAGCCACAGATACAAAACCTATGTGGCAGATATATCCACAGGGGAGGGGTTCACCACAGTTCATTGATAGCTACCATTTTCTGAGATGGTCTCCATTTGCTATAGAGAGAAGCTCCTTTGTTGAGGTGTGATAAGCTACATCGGTCTATATGTATAAGACTAAGAATGCAGCTAAGGAACTATGCTTGTCTATCAAAGTGGTGGAAGTATATTGTCTTCTCTAACTTATTGTCTCACTAGCCCTGGGAATTATCTAATTTCTAGTACCAGGCTGTTAAATGGGGCAAGCTTACATAGTCAGCTGTGTGAGTGCCCCTATTGCAGTATGATGGATATATTTGTCATTGTGTGGTTCATATTCATAGGACTATTAATTGCTTCCCTCTATTTGCAGCTTTAACAGTGTGTTCTGGTACTATGGAAGCTAGACCAAAAAATGTAGGGTTTTCAGTTAGATCCAACTTGAATAATCCTGGTCTCTTTTCCAAAGTGTGTGGTGTCTTCAGCAATAAGGGCTTACCTTCAACCTCTAAGAAGCATCCAAGTGCAAGATTGAGACTCTATATTGCCTTGGGAGTCATATACACATCCTGACCAACACTGGAACAGAGGTTCCCATGCCTGGAGATTTTTAGTTTTGTGTTTGGGTTTTGTGGAGCAGCATTGTCACATATATGTGTGCACGTTTATACAGATACAATTATACATATATTAGGAGTAATTTTGGTAAATATAAAGTAATAAAATTCCTTGAGGCATTATGAAGCAACATTGGTGTTATTTGTTTCTTCCTCTTTTCTTCTTCTTGTGTCTTGACTCCCAGTTAGAGTCTCTCTTCCTAATTAAACTCTTAATGTAATGGTCACTGTGTGCCCCCAAAGAAACTTTTTTTTAATGAAAGTGAGAGCTATGCTTATCTGTGGAGTCAAGTATTTAGAATACAGTTTGAAATTATACTGATATAACAAAGTAGTGATAATATGTTTTCCTCTAAGATCTATGCACTCACTGGACATAGGCTACATTTACAAAGTGCAGACAATTGACCATGGGGTGCCGAGCCCTAATTTATGAATGTACAACAAAATCCCCATATCTAATATTAGGGAACATTGTTGCAGAGGGGACAGACACATTATAAGAGTCAATGGAGAAGGAAGTCTGTTTAATGTTTGTTTCTTCTATATATGTGGCAGTGAAGCTATACCCATAAAATATCAACAATGTGACTGCTTAAATAAAACCTGGAGTGATAACACCAGTTGACATGCCAATGTGAATGAAGAAAATCTCATGAGGCTTCACCTTTAGATGAAGAACTATAGGTAAAACCTGACCATTAGGCAATTACTTACCACCGAGAGAGGAAGTATTATCCTGTCCCAAGCGTAAGTACCCTAATTGGCTATTCAATATGAAATGGTCACTCTTAAAGTCATATATGTATAAAGAACACTAGGGAGACCCCTCAGGTTGTAACATATATATTGTAATATATGATTGTAATATGCGATATGTGATACACGCGCGAGCACGCATGCGTGTGTGTGTGTGTGTGTGTGTGTGTGTGTGTGTGTGTGTGTGTGTGCGTAACAATAAAAATTAATGAAAAGGAGCTATAAATTTGAGAGGGTGAAGCAACACATAGAAGAAGTTGGAGGGAAAAAAAGGAAAGAAAGTAATGATGTATGCCAGGTGGCGGTGGCACACACCTTTAATCCCAACACTAGGGAGGCAGAGCCAGGTGGGGCTCTGTGAAACCCTGTCTTGAAAAACCAAAAATAAAGTAAAGGATAAGTGTGCTGAAAGTGTAGCTCATTGGCACAGCACTAATGTCGCTTATTCAAAGTCTTGGAATTAATCCCTAGCACTTAGAGGGAGAAGAAGATTCTATATTAGTGGCTCCTTGATGTAAATCAACGTATTGATACAAAAATGAAATGCATTTGAATAAACAGCTTAAATTTTTGAAGGAATATTGGTGGTTGAAGCATCTTGCAAGACACCTTGTTACCCATAACGGATGAGTATGCAATATAAGTGGAAGGCAAGATTCTTTAAATAGCACAAGCATTCAGAAAGGAAATATTAGGGCTGGAGAGATGGCTCAGTGGTTAAGAGCACTGACTGATCTCCCAGAGGACTGGGGTTCAAATCCCAGCACCCATATGGCAGCACATGACTGTCTGTAACTCCAGTTCCAGGGACCTGACACCTTCACACAATGCACATGAAATAAATTTAAATAAATTATTAAAAAAAGAAAGGAAAGATTAATCATATTCTAGAACAAACACAAATTATCCCATCTCCACCCAAGAACTCAGAGGATCAGCTCTATCTAGCAGAAGAGGAGGTTAGTGCAGTTGTGTGTCTCTAGGGTTGACACATGACTCCACATTCTTCTAATATTTGCTGCTATCACTCATGCATATTCTTGACTGCCCAGTATGCAAGCCACACATTCTCAACAGACGGGACAAATTACTCATTACTGTACTTTCTGTGGCTTCAGTTAACCATGGTCAACCACAGTCTGAAAATCTAAAATGGGAAATCCCAAACATAAGTTTTACACTATTTACTGCATTGAGGAGCGTGATGATATGACACATTATCCCACTATGTCCCACCTGGCACGTGAATCATGACTGTGTTCAGGGTGAACACATTATGTAGGATTAGCCTTCTTGAAGTCCCTTTGATTGGCTTTCACAGGGTGACAATGCTTAAATCAAGCAACTGTCCAAAAACAACGCCAGTGTCACGCACTTACCTTCATCATTCAGCCAAGAATGAACCCGATCTGTCTCTGCATAGCATCCGTGAACAGATGAGATTGGACATGTTCATGGTGATATGTCCACAGAGGACCTTCGTCTCATCTGCCAGGCGTTTTATTACCTATCACCAGCATAAAATGAATGGCTAAAATAAAATAAAATATTTTGAGATAGAAAGAGTTAGAGAAACTGCATTCACATAACTCTTATTAGAGTGTATGTTTATAAATGTTTTATTGTTGAAATTATTAATTTTTACTGTGTTAATTTGTGCTGAGTAAATTTTTGCCATAGGCATACATATATAGAAAAAATAAACAAGCATATCTAGGAGCCAGTATTATTTACAGTTTCAAGCTTCCACTGAAGGTCTTGAATCACACCCCCACAAATAAATGGAGGCTGACTAAACCTAATGGTAGACAATACCTCTATCTGAGAGGTTTCCAGATGATTGTGTGAAAAACACATTTTTAAATAGAGAACAGAAAAATAACTAGGAAGCTGTGAACTTTAAAAATGACTCACTCTGTGCATGTAAAATGGAGACGAGGAAGACAGATGCTTTCTGGAAAGGAATGGAGGAAAGTGGGAAGGGGCAGTAATGTGTTAATAGGATTGAGTTTATTGTTTTAGGTTTAGCTTTAGCTCTGCTGCTTCCTGGAAGCCTGGCCATCAGAGAAGCGCTACCAGCTGCCACAGCAGACTCCTGAAGCAACTGTAGAATAGCAAATAGCTAGACTGGCCCTGAAAAAGTGCCAGAGAGAGAGGGAGAGGGAGAGGGAGAGGGAGAGGGAGAGGGAGAGAGAGAGAGAGAGAGAGAGAGAGAGAGAGAGAGAGAGAGAGAGAGAGAGAGAGCAGTCACTGTAATGTTCCTAGCTTGAAGGACATTAAATCATTAAAAATGATTTATTTTTCTTACTGTATGAAAGTTAAGTTTACATTACATGAGTCCAAATAATAATAACCTGGACCCAACTTCATAGCTGAGGAAGCATTTGGATCTCAGATCCCTGCTGTAAGCGGAGCCCCCAGAATACAAGGATAGTTAAGCAAGTTTCAAATCCAAGTTGCTCCAAACAGTGGGAGTAAAATGCACCCCCAGCTGGCATGGGTGACTGGGAACTGGCATCTGTGGCTTGTAATTCCACCCTTATGGTGTGAAGGAAAATGCACACACTATGGCAGTACTATTTTCAATTGATCATTGTCTCTTTTCAGTTGTTTCATTTAGAAACCTTGTAATTAACCTTCACCCAGAGGTTTCATTTGCTAAAATGGATAGCGTATTTTTGGCTGTGTTGTTTGAAGAGTAGAATGAGATCAATATAGTCAATAAGATTAAAATAGAATGAATTCAAATTGTTCAATGAAATTGGACACATTTGACATATGTTAGCATATTAAAGATGTGATTGAAGAAATAAATTAATTTCAATTTACAATAACAATGAAAGAGCAAACGAAATGAGAAACAAGCTGTTCAAGGGGAACAAAATCCCACAGAACTTTCTCTTTCCTCACTAAATTAAGGTGACAACTGTGCTGTGAGTTTCATCTGCTTGTGATCACTGTTAACACTACCTGTTATATGACATTGTTATATGTCACATTACTCTTCAATGTCATTTCTCCACAATGCTTATTTATAAAATGGAAGCACCTCTGGGCTTGCACATGTTTAGGATCTGTGGTATTGTATCTGTAAAGGGTTTGGGGTGCGATATCCTGAATGGTTCTAAACATAGTTATTTGTCCCTTACTCAGGGTGCTTTAGACATGAGGAATCAAGTGATGTAATGTACAACAACTAATGTAATGAAGCTAATAAACGTTGAGCCCAATTTGACTGCCTAGGTGATGGCAGGGAAGATATAACAGGCGGCTTAATGATGTCACCTATGAGTAAGACAAGATGAGTATTGATTCTTGATACAGACACACGTTTTCCCATCTTGCAGGTATGTCACCAAGGGCACATGGACAAATAATACCAAAATCAAACCAAAAGGGCACACACAAAGACCACACAAACGAACAATAACCAACAAACAAACAACACGGAGTCTGTTTTGTGTTTGCCTGATAAGTCTTGTCCCACAGCCTCCCCTCCAGTGTGGTTGGCACACCAGTGACATTACATTGTAGAAGACTGACTTTTCCCTTTGACATCAGGTATGAATTCCAAAGATCTTCTTGGTTGGGAATGAGACTCTGTGTCTATTTCCCCTTCTCAGTGCTGAGATTTTTGTCTGGCTTTAATTCGTTAAACCACTTACTTTAAAAAAAAAAAAAAACCCATAAGAGACAAAACTATGAAGGGAGTAAGGAAGAAAGGGAAGGAAGGAGAGAAGAAGGGAGGAAGAATAGGGAGGAAACGATAGAGTAAAAAGAAGGGAACGAGAAAGCAAATCCAAGACTTTACTCCTGTTTTCCCTACTATTAGAACGAGCTGATTTTGTGTTATTAATAGCCCCAAACAGCTTTCCCTAGCATCACTCCCATGTCACAATGTGTTGACACATTATGTATTTCCTAACACATTTGGAATGCTAGGTTTCCCTAGTGAATCGCAGTATCTCAGAGGATGAAAACAAAATCTGAACACTGTCAGAAGCCTCCAAATGTGTTCTAATTTCAACACTCAGTGGAATACCCAATTACCTTGAGATACCCATTGTATGACAAGAGATAAACCTTTTTTTTTTGTTGTTTTTCTGACAATTATTTATTTATTATTTAACTTTCTGCAACATTGCTGTGGTTTGTAAAACTCTCTTCTTCACTAGGTCATATACAGAGATTGCTTAGGGAAAGTAAGGTTTAGAAAATAGAGAAATTAAAAAGTGGAAGTCTGGTTATCTCATTAAGTGTTATACAATAATGTGTTACAATATCACTACTAACCTTTGGCATTTTCATTACCTTTCTGTGGCCACACACAGACAGACACTTAAGAAAAAAAGCAAGTATTAAGCATTCTTTGAAAGTCTTATTTTCAATAGTTAAGTTAATGTCAGTATATAGATTTTATTTTCTGTATTGTTAAGTGTTTGACTTATTTGTATTTCTTGGAGACAGAGCCTCACTATGTAGCTTTCACTGGTCTAACTCAGGCTATGAAAACCGCTGTGGCTGCAACCTCACATAGACCAGCCAGTCTCTGCCTCCCGAGTGCTGAGACTAAAGGTCTGCCCCATAATGCTAAGATGCGGATAATTTTATAATCACAGTTGTCAGGCAAATTTATGAACATAAAATTTAATATATTTTTCTCATTATTTCCTTTATTGTGTTTTCTGTAATAAAATAACATAATGTACCATAGAGGTGTTTTTTTTTTTTTAAGTCATGTAAAGAGCAGTTTTCCATTTTCTGCAGGAATGTATGTATCTGAGACTATCAGCAGATTCCTTACACTTGGGGTAGCACTAACTTCTGCCAGTTCTGGTTTTTCCCATATCTACATGCTTGGGACAAAACTTAATTTCTAAAGTTAGCACAAGAAATGACTAATTTAGTAACAAACATGATATTAACAACTGAAGAAAGCAGAACCATAACCATGGACCCTCCAGCTTCTAGACTTGTGAGAATCGCTGTGACCAGCTGCCCAGTCCACAGATCATTGTGGCCTGAGCTGCCTTGGACACTGGATATGTGTTAATATAAAACATATACCACAAGTAGTCAATACAATAGAACCAATCATAAACAGCAGCCATTATCATTCCCTTGCTCACTGTGCTTCTAAACTACATTAACCTATCTATTTCAGCATATTGATTTCTGTTGGCAAATTTGTACCACAGACTGGGTAATTTGTACAGAGCAGACATTTATTTACTAACTGTTGTGAAAGAGGGAAGCACCAGCTTAGTATTCAGATGGTTTTGGTGTTTTTGTAAGGGTCCAGGAAAGGCATGTGGCATAAGACCTTGAATGCTATTTCTCATGTGGTAGGAGAAAAAGCAAGAAATCACACCCATAAACTTTGTCTTATACCAACATCAATGCATTCATGATCAGAATGGTTTCCCAAAGCCCCAAATCTCAACACAGTTGTATAGGAAACGAAGTTCCCTGTGCGCCAATTTGGAGTGACATATTCAAACCACAGTCATTTCTAACAATTCCCTTCAGTCATATCACACAGCATTATCTTGGCTCTATGATTCCTGATTGTATAAGACACAATTGTACTCTTTTACTTGTACTGTTTTACTTTTGAGGAACTACGTAGCTATCACTGAAAGGTCATTTCACTTTTCCACATGAAGATTTAGAAACACGTGTGTCTACATGTCAAATGGTCAGTGACAACATCTCTTTATGTAATTATATATTATATTGATACCCCACCTGTGTATTAATTTTGATTATATTTCATAATGGAAAAATTTATTAAAGTGGTTAATTTAAATATATAGAAAATGCTAACTTATACCTATATTTTTCTATTTATACAGTGAAATTTTAACTTTTAATTTAATCATTTTACAGTAGAAAAAAACTAATCTTATTTAACTCTGTACATAGCAATTTACCTCATTTGATCAATTACTACTCTACTGAACTTTTTTTTTTTTTTTTTTTTGGTTTTTTGAGACAGGGTTTCTCTTTTTGCCTTTCCTGGAACTCACTTGGTAGTCCAGGCTGACCTTGAACTCACAGAGATCCGCCTGGCTCTGCCTCTCGAGTGCTGGGATTAAAGGCATGCGCCACCACCGCCCGGCCTACTAAACTTTTTTAAATAAAAAAAAAAATACATATGTCCTGTGAATATAGTTAAACATATACCAAAACCTCCTTTTTCCCCTGTTTTGGATTTAAAAAACATGAATTTTTAGACACAGTAATCAATTCACTATTTTACAGCATTATTGTTCACTTTAAGTCTTAATATTAAGAAACATCATTCCAATAAGCAAATCTATAGCTCTCAGAATAGCTAAAATTAGAGTTTGTAGAACAAAATATGAATGATATTAACAAAGGCAAAAAAGTTTTCTATGAAATGTCACAGAATCCAAGGTTCTTCCTGATATAAAGCTCAATACTTAACAGATTTTGAAAATGTTATTCATGTTTACTATGACAGAATTTAAATTGTATGACTAATTTCACTGGACTGTCATTGGATAA